TATCATATTAAAATAGTATTTAAAAACACAGTTTTTTATTATAGTTTATTTTATTTTTTTTAAAGTAAATAATTGGAAACAACATAAAAACAATAAAACTCGAATCAACGAGACTCCAAAATCAAACAAAAACAATGTTTTTATCGAATTTATTTTATAAATAAAAAAGAAAGTTTTTTATTTAGAAAAATCAGAAAGAATTATGGTGTGACTTTCTCCCTATTCTTTATTGAAAAATTATCCAATAACAAATTATTGCCTTTTTAAATTGTGAAAAAATAGTGTGTTTTTTCTCGACATACAAATATTTTTTAACCAAATGTATTGAATAACACACAAAAACACACAATAAACTTGAATTTATTCACCATACAGAAATGATTGCCGCACTTTCGGATCGTCCACAGTATTCTCCCAGTCTTTTTTAACGTTTTTCTGCACGGCTGGAAAACCCGTTTTACTTTCATTTACTGACTAAATCATACACAATTTTAACCAAAGTTTCAATTTGCCTCAAATAATTGAAGTTTTTGTGAATAAAAAACAAAAAACACGAGAAATTACAACGGACATGTGCAGCTCCCTTTTACCGCTTCTGATAATTTACACAAAATTATCCGTCTTACATTGTTTTTATTGACCAATATTAATAAATTGCTTCGTTTATTTTATAAAAAGTTTCAAAAAAGCAAGTACAACGAAATAACGAGTCATTTATCGCTTGCTTGACAGGCACTTGAAAACCCGCTTAAAATGGATGCACTCACGTTCAGTTGGTGAGTAAGTCCAAAGTGCGTTTTTTCAGTTTGACTGTGAAATACATTTCTGAGAGAATGAGGAATTTAACAGAGGGGGGTGTGAAATAAAGGTGCAGTCGGTCTCTGCTTAGAGACATTGAAAAGTGTCATATTAAAAACACGTGCTGGCCCGTGTATTAACTATGTTGCTCGAGAGGCAATCGATTTGACTGTTGAGTATTTGTTTAATGGACGATTAAAAAAATAGAAAAAATATTAAAAAATAATAGGTGGTGTGAAAAAAAGGTACATTCGCGGGTTAGTTTTTTTGAGTTTTTTATTTCTGCAAAAAATTGAAAATTTTTTATAAAAAGTTCATTATTTTTGATAAATTCTGAGTTTTTTGGTTATTTTGGCTTCAAAGAACAGTTTCGAAGTCAATCTTTCTTGCTTTTGCTTTTATTATTCGGCAAATCCAGCCTTTATTTTACTTAAATAATAATTCACAACTATCAATTACAAACATCGGCATCTTGAAAAAGTAATAGATATTCTTTTAAATTTCGTTTTTTGAATCAAATCGAGGAAAAGGAAAAAAAAATAAACTATACAAAAAACAATAATCGTATCATTATTTTACTATTAAATTATCAAAAGCGGTTTTTTTCCTGAAGAGGTTATTTTCACACCTTCAGATATTAACAAATTGTGCGCTTATTTTAAAATATGTTAAATGCTTTCTTTTTTGTTTTTTGATAATGGTTGTTTTAACATCTGTTCACTTTTATATACAAACTTGACGCTTCCATGGCTCGGTATTTTTTGCTTTTTTGCACTGAAAATTTTTTTGGCAATTTTTATAAAAGTAATTTAAAAACTCCCCTCATACTTACTTTTTTAATGGTATATTGAATAGTATATTTACCATTAAAAATTATTAATTGTATATAATAAAAATATTATAATAATTTGGTTGTTTATATAGTTTTTTTAATAATATGATTATAATAATTTTTATTTTTTAATTGTGTTTTATAATGGTTAATAATATAATATAATAATAATAATAAATTAATAAAATTTAATAGTATATAAATTATATTATTAATCAAATAATTTATTATACAACTATAATAAATATACAAACATATAAACTATAACAATATAACAAAAATATAATGTTGTAATATTAATAATAATAAAATATATAATAAAAATAGTACATAATTTTCGTCTCAAATACTTAACATTTGATAAACAATATATTTTGATATAACAAAACTATATTAATTATTAAAAACAACTACAAACTAATAGTATAATAGAATGAGTGATATACCCTTGAATAAAATAAACTATATATAAAGAATATAATTAATTATTATTTATTAATATAAATTATTTTTTTGTATATTTTGTATAATTATATAATAAAAAAGCTTAATTATTAATATATTTAATTATAATTAAATAATTAGATAAAACAAACAATAAATAAAAATTGTGTTAATTGTTTAACAAATATTATACTATTAGTTAATTTTGATTCAAACTATTATTACAATTAATTGTAATTAATTTATTTTTTAATTATATATATTATTTGATTTGTTTTTATATAACTACAATTTATTGCAAATTTAATTATATTTATTAAGAATTACATATTATATTTTTTATTCACAAACACATGAAAACAATTTAAACCAAACCCACCTTACAAACAATTCAATTACTATCTGTGTTTATTATTCTTCTTTTGAATTGAGTTTCTTTTATATTATAGTATTATGGGTTTTAATAAATTTGATTAAAACAAAACTATATATTTTTATATTTTATCAATTTAAATTATATGTTTTTTTATGGAACAGTCATTTACATGTTAAATAATAAAACAAATGTAATAATATTAGACTATTGTTTAAATGTTTATAATCTATTTAATTTATGCATTGTTTACACCAAAATATGTGTGATGATCATAATGATGATAATGTTCTACCAATATAACTAAACATTTTAGTGTAATAACGTGAATATGGGTTGGAGTATACACTCCAAATAGCAAATGTATTAAAAGTTAAAACCAAATAAAACAATTGACTCAATTAATTCAATACACACTAACACGTGTTTTAAATTTATACAAAAAGCGCTACATCCCTTTAATTGTTTTTGGTTGTATTAAATATTTCCAAAGTGTAATACATTTAATTATCATTGCTATTAGTCAACAACAACTTTTTATCCAAATAAATGTATTATTCAACATTAAGATATTTATTACTTATAATCATACTTTTTATACTGCAATTCTTATGATAATCAAGGCAACATATACTACAATTAGAATTTATTTTTACTTTTTGTTGTTTTTAATAAACGGATTTGTTTATTATTATTATTATTATTATTATTATTATTATTATTATTATTATTATTATTATTATTATTATTATATTTTTATAATAAAATTGTTAAAATATAAACTAAAATCCAATTCAAATAACAAAAAAGCATTTGTTGTTTTTAATACAGTAAAACAACCTCTCGTATGCAGTTTGGAGTAGCATGTTCTTTGATCTCATTTGCTTGAGTTTAGAAAAAAATCTTTCAACATCAACGGAAGTTGGATAAACACACACCATGCACTGAACAACACTTTGTAAGTTTATCAATTTGAGTTGTTCCAGTACATCATAAACTTCTAGAAGTGTAACTCGTTGCCTGGTGTTTGTTAAACGCATAAGTTTTTCATGAAAAGTGCTCTGCGATTTTTTCACTTTTTTGATTATCAACTCCTTTTCAAAAGACGTCATTCTATTTACATAAGCAATAAATTTGGTGATTTCATCATTGAAGACCGAGCTAAATGTATGACTCTTTGTCATGTATTCAGGTAACAGGTTCTTTGTAATCACATCATCAGGAATATAAAAGACTTCTAAAAGTTCTGAAAAAAATGTGTAATTGGAGTTTCTCTTGAAAATTGAAGCTTCGACGCTGCCTGTTCTCCAATTAACATTCGAATCGTTAACGCTGTTCATGTTAACCGATTGACTAATTTGTGTAAATCTAAGTGATAATTGGCACTTCAGTCTATAAAGCACCCGAAGTACAAAAGAGTCTTTGACTTCCATTATTTCCCTTATATCTCTGAAAAAGACCCATGTGCCATCCTCCACCTCTTTTATGATTATATTTATATATAACATAAACATGTCGACACGTTCAACACACTCGAAGAGCAGGAGACTGTCTTCTTGTAAAGAAGAGCACATAATGAAAAGGAGTTCAAATATTTTCTTCGATTTATAAAACACGTTTCTTATTGGTGGTGAATTAAGATTAAATAGAACTTGTCGTGCTTCATCAGAGTCCTCTTCTTCAGCGTCATCACTTCCCAACATTTCTTGTCGTTGTTGTTCGTGTCTAAATTGTCGGTTCTTTTTTTGTTTTGACAGTTTTATTTTGTCTTCAAAGAATGTGAATTTGTTGGATGCAAGTTCAATTGATAACTCTTCATATACACTTGGAGTTGAAACGTAATTAATAACGTCTTCGTAGTTGTTTATAATTTCTGTGATATTTCTCGATATCCAGAACCAACGCTTGAAAGAATATGTCGAGTTTATATCATGATTAAGTCCACACCTGGTATTATAATCATTCAGACGACTTTTCTTACAGAACCACTTGATAAACACTTTCACAAGAAAAATTTCTGGTTCTTTTTCAAGGCCTTCTCCACGCAATGCCAGTCGATGGGCACTACACCAGAACTGTTTGATGTCGGAGTCAATCAATTCTCTTCCAAGTGGAAGCTCTTTTTGTACCAATTCGTTCATTTTAATAAGCACACTGCCATTAAATCCAGACCATGAAGCGATTCCGTCTGACGTCACATTTACTATGCGGTGACAAATCAACCCCAAATCTGTCAATTTTGAAACCAACCATTTAGCTAGAGTCTCTGCATCCAATTCACCTTTATATTGACGAAGAAGTAGAGGCATAGAATAACAATTGCGTCCTTTTATTAAACGTAACATGACGCAAAAGATTTCAACGTCATCTTTTGTTGTTGAATCCACGGAAATGGCCAAGCAGTCGTGAAGTTCTCTTTCATCTCTAATTGTACTCATTAAAACGTTGTTGGTTTTTTTGATTTGATTTACACTTGTTCTTTGGCTTATCGCTAAAGTTTTGGAGCGAGACAACGTTTCACGACTCAACGCCGCATCGCTAATCAAAATACATGTTTTAACAGCTTTCTTTTGTTTTTCAGACATCAAAGACTCGTTAGTAATACTGTTAATAACATAGTCTGTTATTTTACGTTGTCTAACTTCCATCGCAAACAACCGTTTTTTGTTTGTGATTGTGTTTATTTCATCAAACAAACAATCAAAGGCTACAATGAACCGTTCCAAAGAGAAATCGCCGTGTTTATCATAAGAAAATTTACGAACGGTTTCGGATGCTTCATCAATATCTACGTTTTCCATCCCACAATCTTTGTATTCTTTAAATACACCATTCTCAAACAAGTCAAGTTCTAAAAGAACAGTATTTATATTATTAAGTGATACTTCGTTTGACATTTCTGCTAAGTGAAACATTAATCTTTCACCAACACCAGTTGGAACCATTTGTTCTTTTTCTCTTGTTTCTTTTTCTTCGTATAAACTTTCGGCGTTAATTGTATCATTTATGAGTTCTTGATTTTCTTCTATTTCGGTGTTGGAGTATTCTTCTTCATTACTTTGAAAATTTATACGTAGTGTTGTTTGGTGTGCTTCTCGTTGAATATTCTGTTCTCCAATTAAATTGGTTGGTGGTTCTTGAAAAACATCTAATGTCCGCTTTGATTGTGTTTCAAAATATCGCTTTGAACTTGGAAGCGATGCAAACTTGATAAAAAAGAGTTCGGTTATTTGTGCTTTCGTTCTTGTAATATTAGGTTCTATTTTTGAAGTTATATCAACATATATCGAATCGTAGTAAGCCACAAAAATATTAACAAAGCATTTCTTCGTCTTCTTTATTAGTTTGATAGTTTTTATGATGAACTTGTTTATAACATGAAGTGTGTGCGTTTTTTGCTGTAAACCATTTCCCGTGGTATAAACAAAAACAAAAAGTATCAATACCATATATCGCTTCAACATAATCAAGTGATAACTCTTTTAACGAATATGAATAAAACAATTCTTTGTGAAGTTGCATTTAAGTTTTTTAAGTTTATAAAAAAAAATATAAGAAGTTGAAATTAAAATGTATTATTATTATATATTATATATTAATATAATTTGTTTAAGTTTTATTATTAATGAAACTATATTTTGGTTTAATATATAAATTATTTATAACTCATTTTGTTTTTTTTGAATGATAGATCATGAATTGAATGTTTAATATGTTTATCAAATAAATCTCACTGTTATTGTTTTAATGTTGTGTTTCAATGTGATTAAACATACAAAATGTCAAAAAACATAATCAAAATGGTTTACCTAATATGGTGCTTCGATGTATGTCAATGTAGTTTCTTTTAAACATATTTATTTATTTCTTTAACTTATTCAAAACCATAATAAATTAACTTTTTAA